TTGCTACTTCACTATAGAAAACAGATTAGGTAATTTCTAATGCAACTCTCCACGCAATGTAGATGATACAGATGTTCACTCCTCAACATCAATCTTAGGAAAACTTCATTCAATTTCTTTCAACCAAATTCAAATGAGATAAATAAATTGCTACTACGGTTTAATTTAGACAATTCTTGGAGATAAATTATTGTCAATAACAAATTCATTTTTTTATGGCATGGTACATGGACTGGAGGCAAAGGGACAGAAAAATACACCAGACCTCCCAGAAGCACTTTGGCATTTGTAGATTGAAAAATTACTGAACTAACAATCAAGTTGATTTGTATTTGGGTTTACATTTCCTTCTGCTGAAATGGCTCTGTTCTATGCAATGTTATCACTTGTAACACTGGGTGGGGTGTGTGCACCTTGAAGGACTGCAGCCTATGGAGACCCCACGCTGGAGACGCCTGATCCTGAAGGACTGCAGCCCATGGATGGGATCCACACTTGAGCAGGGAAGAGAGCAAGGAAGAAGAAAGGAAGAAGAGAATGGGTCATGGACTGACTGCAACCCCCATTCCCCATCCCCCTGCCTTGCTGTGGGCCAGAGGTGGAGAAGCTGGAAACAAAAGAGCGAATTTTGCCTTGTTATGAAGAAGGTGGGAAGGGCTTCTGGTTTTGTGCTTGTTCCTCACCATCCTACTCGATATTATAAATAGGAATAAATTGAATTGATTTCCCAAAATTTCACTCTCTTTTGTCCATGACAGCAACTGATGGTTGATCTCCCTGTCCCAATCTCGACCCATGAGATTCTCCATCCTATTTTCACTCTTGTCCCATTGGAGAGGAGTGAAGAAGAGGCTGGGTGGGGGGGGTCTGGCAGATGTCCAAGTTTAACAATCCACAGCAGGTCATGTCAATATTAAATAATTCCAACATCACAGAACAGAATCTGATTGTTCATTTCTTTTGCCAGCTCTGGCTCAGAGGGACAATTTACTGCATACTCAGTGCCAGGTGTGCATTTTTCATATTATCACCTTCAAAAATATTCCTTTTGATGAAATGAGAGAAACTGCCTTTAAAGCAGGTTAACATCTTAATCACTATAATATTTCTTTTTCCCAACATCACACAATCTCCACATGAGTGGTAAATACAAAGTCTCAGTGAATCGCTCCCCTTCTCCAATGATGCTGGAGGGGATGGCTTTGGACTGAGAACAGACTGTTTCTTAAGGAGCCGATCCACACATTCCATACAATGAAAACCGAGCATTTGAGATTCTGATTTCATACTGTTTTGTTTTCTAGGTTCCAGATTCCCCATGTAGTGCTGAGCCCACAATCCAGCCATGGTGTGGTCCTGCACAGTCTCAGCAGAGACAGTTCAACTTCACACCTGTTGTAATAAAAGTAAATCTCAGTCTATTCACAAAGATATGGAGAGAAGAAGAAAGAAGCAAACAAGCAAACAAGGAAACATAAATCAAACCATCTCACATTTTGTCTTCTGTTCTCTCAGCAAAACATGCAGAATCACACATSAATGTATAAAGCAGACAAAACGCAATATCCAGAAAGGAAAATTTCTTAGGGATGTTTTCTGCCTGCTATCAATATCATA